CTCACAGAGGTGGAAGTTAATCAGCAATACAGTTATGGTTAATGTTATTAGCTGTATCTTTTATGTTCAACTTTATGAACCTAGAAGTAAGGTGCTACAACTTCTGTTATATGAAGTTATTTCGCAGAAGTATTTGTGTATCTGGTAGCTTTCCAAAATGGAAGTATTGGATCTGAAACACATAAGTGTAATTTCTAGGCAAGAAATTGTTGTTCTTGTAACACGAGAAAGGCTTCAAAACCTCAGTGGTTTGATTTGCACATAAAAGTAGCTAGGGGAGAAGATGCATTTAGCATTGGCTAAAAAAAAAGTGATAGTTTGTATTCCAGTGCATTGTCCAGGTGTTTTCAGAATGTGGAGGTAAATGAGCACATTGTATATCTTGTCAAGTATAACATGGAAGCATTTCCAGCATGGGGCTGGTACTGAGGTGTGTGTGTTCCTGGAACCTAAGGTTACTGAGACTCCTCAGTTTTAGAGGTATTTTTTTGAGACATGAGTCAAAATGAGGGCTTTTTCTTAGGCTGTTTTCTCCGTACCTTGATATTACGTGAGTAAGTAGATAAAGCTGTAGTAGTATGGTTTGGAAAGGACTTTTGGAGGTCATCTCCTCAAGGTGAAATTGAAAAGAGGGCAGAAATGAGATATACTAAAGCTAAAGTAGCTGGAAGGGACTGCGAGCACAAGGCAGTAAGACACAGGGGTAAAAGAACAGGTGGGGAGAGAGGAGGCAGTGATGGAGCTGTGAGGAAATGAAGACTCTGGAAATGTAATTAAAAGCAGCTTGAAGTACAGATACTTCTGGAAAGTTTCTGCCTGTTGTCTTTGCATTTTTCACTCAACAGTCAAAGGTTTGGATGTCTCCTTTTTTGTACGTGCATGCATCCGATTCAAAACCGAATGTGAACTTTTCCATCAGCATTCCTGTAAGTGTAGTCAGGAAGCTTGTGGATGTTGGGCCTAGACAAACTGTAACAGGAATATTCGGATCTTTGATTGCACCTAATATTGGAACAACTAAACGGATTTTTATTCCCATTCTATTCCTATTGTGTTTCTGGCTTTCAATCAAAAATGTTTTGTTTTGTATTGTTTTTCTCTCTTTAATAAAACTTACTTCTCCCTTGTTGCTGAATAGCTACCAGGAAAGTTTTTGCCATACCTTGCTGGTGAAAATGTAAAGGCTGAAACTGCCAAAAGTAAAAATGTTTGTTCTTGGTGGGTTTATAATTTGGCAAGCAAATGAGGTAGTATTGGTTAGCTTCACCATTCAAAATACCCGTGCCAGGAGGCTGTGGGCCAAGTGTTTAATTTTAGGATTCATCCTGCTGTAGCAAGTTGGCAGTGATCTGGAATGATTACTGTAGTGGTTGTAGTTCATGCTCTGTGCAATGTTGTACCTTTTTTTCATATGGTAGGAACAAGTTCACAGCACTTCGTCCATATGCAGTATGAAGAGTCAACGAAAAGAACAACTTTACGCTGTTCATACAATATGGTATTGCTAGGATATTAAGGGCTCTGCCTGCAGTACAGAAAAATAATATACTTCAGTGTCCCCACTGTCCAGGGGACATAAACCCACATATCAAAATATGCTAATTAACGAGTTTCCAGGAGGGAATTTGTGTGCACAAAGTCCTTATGCTTGCTTGTTAACAGCAGTTTCTTGAGAGAAACTATTACCACCTTTCCTTTTCAGGCTGCTCAGAAACCATCCTCTAAAACAGTGTGCAGCATTTGAAATCCAAAATACCTGTAGTTAGCTAGAATGGCTTGTTCTGTTGTGTTTCATTATAAAGGGAATGTTTTTCTCAAACAGGAGATGTGGCTTGATGTTTTTACACATCCCTGGCGCACTGAAAAGGGAATTTAGAGAGACACACTGTGTCTAGATCTCAAATACCCTGTGGTTAGAAGAGACTTTGTGTTGGGCTTAAGTGTTAAAGGTTTTGAACAAGCAGGAGAGCATTCAATTAGAAGCTACCTGGGGTTTGCTGGGTATAAAAGTGCAGCAGCATTACACCAATAGGCTAAACATCAAATGCTGGATTTCTTTTGTTAATTCATGTTGATGACAACATTGATCACTTGGATATCTTTTTGCGAGATTACGTCCTAAAAAAGCATGGAGAGGATAGAATGAAATAGTCAATAGGGGAAATGCAAGAATAAGATTGCTTCCTTCATGCATCGGCATTCTAATACCGTCCTTATTTGTATGGTTGGGTTCTTCTCCCAAGATGCTGCTCTGTTCATTCTGGAGGGTAGATCTGTCTGTGGGACTGAATAAGAGAGCTGTCTGCAGGGCCATGCCCTTGGCTGTTGGAGGGGCTGGAAGGGTTATGAGGAGTGGGGCGAGTGATTGCAGAGACAAGAAGAAGTCTCGTGGTTACACCAGTTGAGTTCAACGGGCTCTTTTTCTGAACGTACTTTGGCCCCTTCAAGGGCATGTTCCACAGGCAGTCGCTAATTCAGGGGGTTTGCAGGCAACCAGCTTAAGCACTGTTAGCCAATTTTTAATGTCTTTCTCTAGGTTTTTGAAAAAACTAGAAACCTGACACAGAAGTTGTATGTTGTAAGCCATGCCAAAGCCCTTCATGGTCCATTAATGTGACTGACCAGGTCAGGTACCCTGCGTGATCCTTTGCCACTTCAGCCAGGAGAGGAGCTGAAAGAAGTCTTGTGTTGTCATCTTGTGTGTGTGCCTGCAGAAGCAGCAGGGGAGCGCTCCTGCTTGGTGTGCACAGGACTGAAGAATGAAGAGACCTGAAGATCGGTGCTGCTGTCTTAGCATTGGGCTCAGGCAGTTGCAGGTCTCTTTGATGTCTCTAAACCTGTTACTGCCCATTTTTCAAAGTCACTGTTCTTGCACCCTAACCTGCCTTAGCTTTGCTTTGCACGCCAGTCCAAACCTCCAAGCTCTGGTCAAATCCCAGTCATTCCTCTCTCCTGGTCTCTCTTCCTGGACTTTTTATCTGAGCTGTTATCTCTTCCCCTGCCACATCCTCTTGTTCAGTTCTCTCCCCATGCTCTTTGACCCAGGCTTTTTGCCATGTGAATCTTTCACTGTCTCCTCATCCAGTCTGTTCTGTTTCATCATTTTATACTACCTACTTTTGGTAGAAATTTATTTGCCAGTTCCCTCTTTTCGGGTCCTGCTATTACCCCGATGCCTTTTGTAATACAGATCCACTAGCAGGGTCCAAGAGAGCAGAGTCAGGCCATACTGAATGCATCTCTTCATACTTTCTGTGCTGCCTACTGTGTTAAAAAAATCTGCAAAGTGTCCTGTTCACCGCTCCTCCTGGCTTACGAGGCTGGCTCAGAGTCAAACGGGTCTGTGAGTAAGAGCTCTAAGGGGGTGTATGGCACAGATGGCATAATCAGAAACGTAGGAGCCAGATCTTAACAAGCTTATGTGAGCACGTGCTCGCTGAATTGTTTGTCCTTTTCCATTTTGGTGTCTTCATCTTGACATATGGGGGTAAAAAACCCCAACGTACCACTAAACAAAAAAACTCCTAGGAAAAGCCCAATTTGCCTTCTTTAATCTTCTTTTAAAAATCTGGGACAATTGCACCTTCTTGGCAAAGCGTAAAATAAGTCAATTTACTTCTGCGAAAATTCAGCTTAGGGCAAGCATGTAGCTGAAATAAATTATGTTAAAAGCATTTGAAGTCAGAATTGTATAAGAGAAGAGGTTTGAATAAAAACAATACTACCAGTTAAAATTTTAATTTAAAATAAAGTTTATTTCTGAAAAGCCTTTTGCTGGTTAAAGTGATATATGTAGTATAATATTGGTAATTACTTTTGTTCTGGATTGAGTCATGTTTTTTCCTAGAGAATCCTGTCTGTGAAGTGTTTTTGCACCGTTAGTTACAGAAAGTGTTTGCAAGTATTTCTTTATCTTGGCTCCTTCAGTCCAGCTGTGTCTCAACATGAGCAACCATAAATGTCTACTGCTTTTTATTATTTACCTTCTTGACATTGCACCTCTGTACACTGTCCTGTTATTCACACTTGGGCAAAGTGTGTAACTTGCTCTGAATTTGTAATGTGTCGTGCTTATTTTGCACAACATTTGGGGAAATGGAGAATTGGGCCCCTTTTTGTCAGACTTCTCATGTTGCTGTGGGCTTTGTTTTCCAATCCTGTCGAAAATGCTTTGATCTTGAGAGATCTGAATTGCATTGTTATTATGATCAAAAGAGCTTACAGGTGAAATAATGTTTTCCTTTTTTGTAATGATCTTTTCTAGAAGGTAATTTACTGTATCAGTGCCTTCCTAGCCATATGGTTGCATATTGCATTCTGCGTATTTTTATGTACTTGAATTTTGAATATTTTATGGGTTAATAGGCTTAGAAGGGAAAATAAATAGCAGTGAGAATAGCAGCCTGTGAACGTGCAGACTGCAGGGTACCAGGTTACACACCTTCCTCTGTTCCACTTCTTGAAGGCACACTGGTGTGCTGTGGTGGAGATTTTGTGTGCAAGGGACGAGCCACTGAAAGGCTGGAGTACTCCTGATCTACAGAGGCGGAGTGACTTGGGATATTTGCTAGGAAAAGGAGCAGCAGTGGTAAGCAACAGCAGTGGTGGTAGTAAAGGCAGGAGCAGGTTCACAGTTAGCAGATTTCCCAGTGTGAGTCAGTGGATGCGCAGCTTCCCAGCTGGCTGTCAGGAGGAACCCAAAACGGAGCGTTGCGAGAGATTCAGGGTTCATGTTTATCACGAGAAGTCATGTGGTCTTACTATATCTTAACTTGCCAACTTAGCCTGACTCGGGAGAAGATCCTTTGCTGCAGTGCTTAACAAAAAAAAAAAAACACCAAAAAAAAAAGAGAGGAGAGAGAGAGGAAAAAAAATCAGAAGGAAAAATAACGAAAATTGTCCAATGTGTGTTTATGCCTACATGATGCCGAGGAGACACTTAACAGTAAATAATCTGTGTATCCCTGAGGTAAGATACTGTTTCTGCTTTCCCTGCACAGTGCTGCTGCAGCACGGAGCCGATCCAAACATTCGGAACACCGATGGGAAATCTGCGCTGGATCTGGCAGACCCTTCAGCAAAAGCTGTGCTCACGGGTAAGACGCATCCCTCTCTCAGCAGCCTTACCTGTGGTCCGTTTTGTGTGTGTGAGTTCAGCATCGTTAGAGCCTTCTGCCTTTTTGGATGTTTTCGTTGGTCTCATATCGATGTAACTGTTGTTAATCTGCTGTGCTGCTGTAGGTTTGCTTGTTCTACTTGTGCTAATGCTGTAATTTTCTGTTGTAACATCGTTTCTTATTCACTGTGGGGCTTTTTCTTTTTAATTGCTACTCAATATACAGATTGAATAGAAGCCCCCAACCCCGGCAAAAAAAAAAAAAGAAATAAAAATCGGATCAGTTGTTTTAAGACCTTCACTGTTGAGCAAGCAAGGACGTTTGTATAACTATAGAAGTACCTGTGATCTAAAGGCAACCTGCTACCGATTGCAGAGATCAATAGTTACGTTGTATTTTGCTGCAGATTCACATGCTACCCTTTCCTTCCTCTTCCTCATTAGTCGTTTGAGGTAGGACTCTTTCTCCTCCACCAATTTTTTGTCATCTTTAGGGACTGTTAGCTGCCAAGCAATGCGTTTCATGAAAATATTCTGCAGATACAAGTTTGGTTTTACACAGTTCTTTTTTTTTTTATAAATTAACCGTTGTAGCATACCAGTAAGCATTAAAAGTATAATTTAGTAGCCTGTCAAATCTGTATCAAGAAATGCATGGTCCTCTGTGCTGATTTTGACATCTGGGAAATAATGTTTAGAACGAAGTAATCTTGGATTTTAAAATATATACAATTAGATTTATAGATTCAGCAGCCGAGCTTCATTTGAAGCAATAGCTATTTTTCTTCTTTCGCCTTTATTTCCCTTATTCTCTCTTTCTTTTTATCGACAGCTTAATTTATAGGTTACGTGCTATGCAACGCCCGTATTCTTGCTTCAGATTTTGTTCAGAGCACACCAGCTCCCTTCACTTTGTCAGGAACATTTCCTCATCTCTTTCCAGTGCACTGACTACTATACATAATTACCTACAGCTCTGCAGTGACTTGAGAGTGCCTGTGGAACAATGCACTTTAAATACATACAATTTAGTTTAATTACTCAGTGTCAAATTTAAACACATTCTTGCAGTGTTAACAGTTACTTTAGCTGTGCTAAGCAGGTTAATTTGACTCCTGGCTGGTAATGGGTACAGTTGTACAGACACCGAGGATGGAAGGGGTACCAGTGAGTCGAGGTACCTCGAAGGTGTTAATGGATCTTTGGCATTTAGGTGTGGGAAACTTGGTATGTGCACATTTTGGGGGTTCCAGGCTCTGAGCTGCTCTTCAGGCTATGCTCAAGGATCAACCTCAGAGGACAGTAGGAGGCTTCAGGAGGTCTGTGATGGTGAGTTCACATCTGGTCCGTGGAGTTCCCTGGGCACTAGATGATCCCACCGTGGCAAGGTGTCAGCAGATGAGCAGAGATGGATTAGTAGCAGCCCTCTGAGAAGGTGCTGTTGGGTGCAGCAAGCACCCTGCATCCCTGGCCTCACCCCTCATTCTTCTCACACAAGCATCCAGTGGCTGCAAGCTTCTGCAATGGATGTTACCAGATTGTGCGTATAATCACACATGCCCAAAGCCACTTCTGCTGCTGTTTAGGTGTTTTATTGTTTGTAAAAAGATGTAATTTTTGCGTGAGTTTATTCTCCCTAGCAAGAAAATCAGCTTTTGGTTTTATCATCTTTGTCCTCAAGGTGGCTCTTGGCTACGCTGGGCTCTCTCTGCTCTGCACCTGAGCTCCAAGCTGTGTAAACAAGGTTTGACTCAGGCTTCAGCTTCTGTGTGATTCACAATAACTGAGAGAGCTGGCACTGGTTGCCATTTAAATGCAAGCTTTCTATTAAAAGCTTATTTTTTCTGGATGCTGCCCTGCTTTCTAGTATCTCTGTTGGGCTGCTACTTTCTCATGCGTTTTCCGTATGTTACCACCTTCAGGTCTTGCTTCATCCCTCTAGAAGAAGGGGGCTTAAGGGATTTCTTAGGATCTATCTGGCTTGGGATAATCTTTAGCTACAGCAAAGCTCTGCAATTAGGTGCATCAGGACTTAAAGGTATTACTGGATTAAGGATGAGCAGAATGTATTAACGTAATTTTCAGTATTTTACGTTGAATGGTGGGATTTTAGAAATGCTCATATTTAGAGCTTTTAAAAGCAGAGGGAACCTGAAAGCACAATCTGGAATTGTTCCCGTCTTTGCATCTTTAACCAGCATGCATGTCAAGGCTCTTCTCATGATGTTGTCTTGGGTTCCTTTTCCTACCAGTGTCTATGGCCATGATTGACATTTCTACATTGCTGCTGTATTGATTGCTGGAGAACAGCGTTCCTCTTACTACTTTTTTTTACCAAGTATTTGCTTAAGTTTGTGCAGTGACGTTAATGACTTTTGCAAATGAGCTGTGATTATAGTCTCTCTCTGACCTCCCACTTAGCAAAAGCGAACAGAAAACTTGTTGGTAGTTGATTAAATCTTTTCAATTTGATGAAGAATTCTGTGTGTGTTTTAAGAGGGTTATTCCTGCAGTCTAAAAAGCATTTCTGGCGTTCTGGCAACAAATGCTGAATCCACAATGATTTGTTCTTTTCTGTCTCCCAGTCGAGAATAATGTATAGCATCTTGTTCTGAATTACAGAAGGGATATGTAATACAGTAGTTTCTGGGATCACTTCCAGCCATCTTCTTGGATCGTTCTTTTAAAATGTGTGTTTTATGAAGGACATATAACGCAAATGGAAAGACTAATATTTTGATGGAGATGGACTTTGGAAATTTCTCTGTAGATGAAAGTGAATATTATAGAAATTACACACCCGGTTCCAGCTTCTTAAAGAAGAAGAAAAAAAGAAAATTAAAAAAAATATTATGCAATTGGGGAATCTGCTTCTTATTACTTAAAGAGGAAGGCAGTCTCTCTTTCCTCTCCTGCAGGATAAGCAGCGTTTGCGTGAGCCAAGCACTCCATCATTGAGAGCGTGAATATGTTTTGTTTCTTCTTGAATGTTCTTTGTTTCTTCTTCCGTATCGTCCCTTACTGTTCCCGAATCAGGGTGTCATCAGAGGATTGTAATGCTCTTTTTCTCTGGGCTGAAGTGGTAGTACAGACTCCAAAGGCATTTTGCATCTGAAAACCAGAGCTGTTACACATCAGATTAATATCCAAGTTAATTTTATTTTCCTTGAATCGCCTCTGGGGTGTGTGGTTTCTGAGATGGGGACTCATCTTTGTTGCTGTACGTAGCACTGTGGGACTCCCATCCAGAACAGGGCCTTTGGGAGCTTTTGCACTACAAGTCCTATTAGTCTTCATTATTCTCTTACCCTGCTTATTGCCTCTTTAAACATTAATATCCTTTTGTATCTTTCCTGTACAGTATTTGAAGAGCCAACAATATTGTTAATGATTTATTTTTATTTTTCACAAAGTGATGCTTTTTTTGCCACTTCACCATGGTATTTGCTATTTGGAAATGCTTTCTCTACGTGAATGGTTGTTCTTTGTACTTGAGTGGTTTCCAAAGCTGGGAGCAGGAACTGAAGTCACTTTGGTTTCATAGTATGTCCTTGACTGCTCCATGCCTCTGTTTTGCAAGGTTGATTTTGGTTGGTTTCAAGGATTATTCTCTTGAAACAGGTAAAAATGAAAAAAAAGTTTGGAAACTGCTGCATTTCCAGATGAAAGGAAGATTTCTTGGGTACAAAATAGTGTCATGTTTGTTAATAGAATCAATTTTCAAAGTTAAACAAGACTCTGATCTTCCTACTTAGTATGGAAATAATGTCTTTTACAAACAAAGGGCTTAGGTCCTATTGAGCGTTTCTCAATTCTGCTTTTTGGATGTGAAGGACAGCTTGATGAGTGAAAGTACAGCTGGGCAAAGGTTACCAGAAGTGTTAATGAGGATTCATGTTTTCATCTATTTGTCAAGTCATCTTTTTAATTTAAGTGGGGAGCATAGTTCATCTATGGAAATATATTTGCACTTTTTTTTTTTAAAGTGAGCTGCTATCTATGCATAATTTGCCTGCAAGGAAAGGAAAAAAATCTGATATTTCACTAGAAAAAATTTAGTGAAGTGTTGAGAACAGAAAAAGGATCCTAGGTACAACTCATATTTTTAAAATTAGCAGGAAGAGAAGGAACTGTTTTAGATTGGGTTAGTTTTATTCTTACTGTGGCACCTCTTACAGCATGACTGTCTCACATCCCAGGCTCTTTCCTTCTGGGCTGGTGGTTTCTTTTCAGGTACTCTCAAGATTTTGAAGGCATTCTGGATAGACGCTAGCACTTCCTGTTGGGCGGTGCCAACCTCCTCTGCTCTTGCTTTTATTGATTTAATTCATATCTAGTGGACTCTGAAATGAGATAATTTGGACAAGATGTAGCTTCTGTCTCTAAGAAACAGTATAATAAATGTTAGTGCAAAAAGAGGAGCGTTTTAACACTAAGGAGGGCAGGTGCTGCTCGAATAGTTTAGGACACCCATCTATATGGATCATCGTCTTTTTTGATGGTGACACCAGGGTCTGCTCTCTTAGAGAAAAGCACAAGAAACCCAGCAGCTGAGGAGCATCCTTGCCCTGCAGAAACTTTAACCTTATTTGATACAGGCTGTTGACATACATCTAGAAGCAGGAGGTCTGAAGGCCTTTTCCAGTACTTATTTGTGCTTTGAATATATGTTTTTGTGATTTGTTTAGCATTCAGGTAGGTCTACTCCACTCATTTTTCACCAAGGCCACCCTGGGAGGAAACAAGCCATCTTTTCCAGTTCACTGGTATGGGTGCCATGTGATGCTTTTACTTTTGGAGTCCATGGTGGTGCTTCACATCTACTCTCTGGAGAATTGAGGAACGTCAGCTTCAGGAATAATGGGGCATTGCTCGTCCGCTCTTTGGAAAGATGTGGGTCAGATGTACTTGTGGCACAGACCTAAGGTAATGTCTGCCATTTGAGCAGCCATCATTTAGGAGCAGTAACTCTATAGATTA